TATTTTTAATTTCGCAAATGCTGAAGTCCTGTGCTTTCGTGAAACATGGGCAGTAAAGCTTGAACTCAAACTGAATATTTTGTCACATTTTTTAAAAGGACAACATACCACCTCTCCCTTTGCTAAATGTGACCTGAGATGAGAAAGGATTTGTTTATGTCTGGGCAGTTCTGCTGAAAGTTTGAACTGTTGCAAACAAATGTGCCCGTTGAATCATCCAAATGAGTTTGTTGTCTTTTGTGATGGCGATAAACATGAGCTTTGAGAGCATTGTATTTTGTGAACTTAAGTTTGTAGTCTAGGAAACAACATGGATATTGAGCATTTGCTTCATGTCTGTGTAAGTTCTCATGACTAACGTATCCCTTAACTGTCTTCCCTGTTGAAAAAACCAGCATATGCTGGTTAGGTATGTTTTGACGCTGGGATGCTGGTTTAAGCTGGTCCTTTGCTGGTTCTTTGCTGGTTTAAACTGGGTCTTTGCTGGTTTAAGCTGGTCTTTTGCTGGTTTATGCTGGTCCTTTGCCAGCTTCAACTTGTTATGTCATACAATAAAAACTATAAATGTGGCCGTTTCTATATTTGTCTGCGTGGGGTGTTTTTAAATTGTGCAACGAAAAGGACGGCCTAACCTCACTCCTAACCTTACTGTGATGTGAGCAAATCAGGTCCTGCGGAGACCTTGTGTGCGTTGCTTGTTTTAGCCAATGTGTGGTGGCAATAACTCTGTTTACATCCAGTCATGCGTTCCCATCGGAGCAACTACCTTAATTTTTGTGCCAGCGCGGGATTAAGTGCTGCGTTTTCGTCTCCACTGGCAGGTAATATCTTGATTAACTTAATAATGATAAACTTTTGTTATAAACACAAGCCTTGATTCGTGTTGCGTTTTTTTTTTTTTTATAGCAATGTTCAAATCAAAGATGGCGGTGGCCTTCATTTACATCAAAGAAAGGACAACAGCAATCCACAACTTGTAGAGGTATGCAATTACCGGGAAATATTTTGTACTTTTGATTTTTAAATCGTCTCCAAAATCAGAACGAGGTCTGTGGCACGTTGTCTAAATTTATCTGTAGCAACCCAAATTTAGCTACCCTCTCATTGTGTAAACCTGTTTCATTTAAAAAAAAGAAACACATTTCTCAAGGACACGTGGAGTAATGTGTGAAAATTGGTCAATAAACGGAAAGAAGAAGGACACATGGAAAATGGTATGCATGTTTAACTTCACTTTTACTTAAAATTGAAATTCTTACAATTGAGATGTATAACCACTCTCTCTCTCTCTCTCTCTCTCTCTCTCTCTCTCTCTGAGTGAATGGTGAGACTGAGCGTGGTGAGTGCGTTGGAGAGGTATTGTGAGTGAGTTTTCTAAACTTTTCTCTTTTTTTTGTTTTGTTTTTGTATTTGTTTGATCTTTAGTGTAGGTTATTGTGAGTTGTTTGTAGGGCGGCGGCTGCAGCATGGCTGCGGGTGATCAGCTCGGTTTGTTTAAGCTCACACGCCGGCACGCTATTAAGCTGTCTCCGCCGGTCGGTTGTTCGGTAGAGGATTGCAGTTTAGCGGTCGGAGAAGAGGTCGGTTATGGAAGTGTCAAATCTGCCGCGCGGATGAACAGCGCTGTTGTGATATTTTTGGATAACATAGACAAAGCGAATCAGTTAATTGAGAATGGAGTTGTAATTCAAGGTACTTTCACACCTGTTCTTTCTTTAGTGAATCCTGCTAAAAAGATCATCATCTCTAATGTTCCTCCTTTTCTCAAAAATGAAGTTTTGGCTAAAGAGTTACAGAGACATGGTCAGCTAGTATCTCCGATTAAATTGATCCACATGAGCTGTAAATCCCCTCATTTAAAACATGTTATGTCTTTTAGGAGGCAGGTACTCATGGTGCTTAAAAGCAATGATGAGGAACTGAACTTGGTGTTTAAGTTTAAGATTGATGGTTATGATTACACAGTACATGCAACATCAGAGATGATGATGTGCTTCGGGTGCGGAACTGTAGGCCATCTGATCCGGTCGTGCCCGGAGAGGTTAACGTTAGGTGAAACAACCGCTAACATGGTGGAACAGCCAAGTACAAGCGGAGTTGTCGATTCAGTGCAAACTGCAAGAGAGGAAAGCGACGATAGTAATCCCGAGAAGGAAGTTATGGAGGAATTAACGAGCAAGCAAAGAGAGTTGGAAGTTCAAAGAGACCCAAAGGTAGGCACTAATACTTTTCATATTGTTACTAGAATAGCTGAATCAGCGCTGCTTGATGAGGAGAATGTTGTGTGTGATAGCGATCTTGCTAAACAGTCTATCAAAAGAAAAGAGCTAGATAACACGATGAATGCAGATCAGGCTAGTAAAGTATCAAAGTTGACTTTAGTGAACGGCTCGCAGTCTGAAGAGAGTTCGATGGACACGCAGGAGAGTGTATGTGAGTTTAGTGCTGACACACAGGTGGAAGCGGAGAGCGTTTACCCTTTCATTAGACTTCATTCTTACAGGACACTAAAGGCATGAGATCAGGTAGAGTTGATGATTTTTTCCTGGATTTAAAGATGTTTCTCGATTCAGTCAAGCTGTTTATGAAAAATACTGATCTGTCTGATCAGTTTATTTTCAGTGATCAAGAAATGTATCGTCTTAAGAAATTGATGCTCAAAGTTAGATCGCAAATAGCCAATGATGGTTAATTTTCTTTTGTTCTTCTCTCTCTTCTGTGTTAATTTCTCTGGCTTGTTTAAATGGCAATCCCAATGCAATTCTTCATCTAATATGTGTGAAGTAAAGCTAGGATCTTTAAACATCAATGGTGCCAGGGAGGATGTGAAGAGAGCGGCTCTTTTTAATCTACTTAAAGTGAGAAAACTTAATGTTGTATTCCTGCAAGAAATGCATAGTACAGTTGAGAATGAAGCAGACTGGAAGAAGGAATGGGATGGGGAAGTGTGTCTTAGTCATAAGAGCAGTGGTGGAGTTGGAATCTTGTTTTCTAAAGATTTTATACTAATATCTTTTGTTACTGAGGAAATTATTAAGGTTCGTTTATTAAAGATACACACTGTCTTTGAAAAGGTAAAATGTATTTTTATTAATGTGTATGCTCCAACTGTGGGAACTGAATGTTATAAGAAATTGTTCTGATGATTGTTATATGATCCTGGGGGGTGATTTCAACTGTACTGCTGCATGATAGGAATCACATAGAACCTCATGGTCCCAGCAAAATGTGTTTAATCAATTTAATTGTATCCAATAGTTTGTGGGATGTTTGGAGGTTTTTTCATCCTTCCCAGCACCAATATACATGGGCTCATGTTAAGGATAATTCTCTTTCTCTAGCTAGACTGGATAGATTTTATTGTTTCAGACATCAAACTAATGTTCTGAGAAATTGTTCAATACATCCTGTTGGTATTTCTGATCATTCCTTTGTTCAATGTTCTATTTTTATAAAAGATGTGAAATGTAGTAGTGATTTTTGGCATTTTAATGTAACTTTGCTTGATGACAATGTTTTTAGAGATACTTTTAAGTTTTTTTGGGATGGTTTTAAAAATACAAAATCTGAATATGTTTCTTTGCAGCAGTGGTGGGACATAGGAAAGAGTAAAATCAAACAGCTTTGTTTACTATATACTCTAAATGTTACAAAAGATATGACCAGATCTATGAAAGCTTTAGAGAGTGAAATAGTGGAGCTGCAAGAGTTAGCAGACTCCACAGGAGAAGGAGAACACATTAAAGTTCTCAAAAGGAAAAAAAAAACAGCTCTGTCCAACCTGTTAGGTTTTTCTGCTCAAGGTACTCTGGTCCGTTCACGTTTTCAAAATGTGGTTAAAACGGATGCTCCTTCTAATTTTTTCTTTGCCCTAGAATGAAAAAAATAGGCAAAAGAGACTCATGCATTCTTTGCGAAACAACACCGGACAACTACTGCATGAATCTGCAGAGATACGGAAATGTGCTGTTGACTTTTATGAAAAATTGTTCAAGAAAGAGTCTCAAGAGATACCAGAGGTAGCACAGTCCTTTTATGAGGACTTACCACAGGTTTCAGAGGAGACTAACATGAAGCTGGGTGGTCCAATCTCTGAAGCTGAATTATACACAGCACTGTAACACAGACGTGTTACTTGTCCTAATGGACAGCCTTGAAAAAGGCTTGAAAATTTTTACCTCTAAGCTGCAGGAGGGCGATCCTTACTCTTCTTCCTAAGAAAGGTGACCTGCAAGAGATTAAAAATTGGCGACCAGTGGCTTTACTGTCGACTGATTACAAGCTGCTCTCAAAAGTATTAGCCATCAGACTGAAAAAAGCAATGGAGCAAATTATACATGTGGACCAGACCTACTGCATTCCTAACAGGTTGATATCTGACAATATTATTTTAATTTGCGATGTTTTGGACCTCTCCAGTTCTTTGGGTTGTGAACTTGGTTCAATTTCAATAGACCAAGAAAAGGCGTTTGACAGAGTTGAACATCAATACTTGTGGCAAACGTTGGAAGTGTTTGGTTTTAGTCCAAGTTTTATAGCAATGATCCAGGTTTTATACAGAGATATTGAGAGTTTACTAAAGATTAATGGGGGTTTAAGTGCTCCTTTTAAGGTTCAGAGGGGAATTAGGCAGGGTTGTTCTCTCTCTGGAATGCTTTACTCACTAGCCATCGAGCCTTTCCTACATAAACTAAGAAGACTCCTTCCAGGTGTATCCCTTCCTGGCTGCAATTCAGTTTTTAAATTATCTGCTTATGCTGATGATGTGGTTATTTTTGTCAAGAATCAAGATGACATTAATATTCTTGTAGAATGTATAAATGATTTCAGTGTTTTGTCATCTGCAAAAATCAACTGGGGGAAAAGTGAAGCCATAGCTTTTGGTGTTGAGTTAGTTAAAAAGACTTGCCTAATGGGTTATCTTGGGTTAAGGGTGGTTTTAAGTTATCTTGGTGTGTTTTTAGGAGACAATTCATTTGTGTGCAAAAATTGGACAATGTTTTAGAAAAAATTGAAGGACGTCTCAAGAAATGGAAATGGATCTTACCACACATGTCTTTTAAGGGTCATGTATTAGTGATTAACAACCTAGTGTCTTCTATGTTGTGGCATCGCCTGATGTGTGTAGATCCTCCGCCACAGCTGCTGGCAAAAATACAAGCAGTTTTAGTCAACTTTTTCTGGGATCATTTACATTGGGTCCCACAATGTCTTTTGTTTTTGCCAAAGGAAGAAGGAGGTCAAGGACTCATTCATCTCGCTAGTAGAGGTGCTACTTTCAGACACCAATTTATAAAATGACTTCTGTTTGGAGCAGAAAACCTTGTCTGGAGACCTTTGGCCCATACTATATTGAGACAAGGTGGTAATTTGGGCCTAGCTCATTCGTTGTTTTTAATGGATCTGAAGACTCACAAACTATGTTTTATCATGATCTTCCTAAGTTTTATCATGGGTTGCTTACTGTGTGGGGGATGTTCCAGAAATGGAGGACAAGCAGTGATTCACTGTTTTGGGTGTTGAAAGAGCCAGTGCTGTATGGGACACGATTCAACATAGAGCACTTAGCTGGGTCTTTTATGACAGCGTTTCATTTCAGCGGGGATTGTTACTTTGAAACATGTCTTTGATCTAACTGGGCCAAACTTGTTTAATGCTGAAAAACTGGCGTCTCATATAGGAGTCCGATCTATCAGGATTGTAAATCATTTGCTCAACAATTGGAAATGTGAACTCGCACAGACTGAACTCTCCTTATGTAATGAATATTGTAATTGACATTGTCAACCTAACAGTAATGATATCTTCCCTTCATTAATTCTTGCTCCTGATTTTAAAAACTGCACTGGTCCATTGCTAGAGTTAAATGGAACTCTCACAAACAATGTTGTCACAATGACAGGTAAATCCATGTATAAGTCTTTTGTCAAGATTTTAAATAAAGACAAACTGAATACTCGAGCTGATACTCCCTGGAGAGCTCATTTTGGGCTTGACAATGAAGTCAAGCCTGTGTGGAGAGCTCTATATAAATCACCGTTAACAAAAAAAGTCGGGGATTTACAATGGAGAGTGTTACATGGAATTGTGGCTGTCAATGCTTTTATTTCTGTTATTAATTCTAATGTAAATGAAAATAGTCCATTCTGTTCGCAAAGGGAAACAGTGTTTCATTGTTTTTCAGAGTGTAGCAGACTTTGTAATGTTTTTACATTGTTGCAACAACTGTTTATAATGTTTGGAGAAGTGTTTACTAAAGATATGTTTATTCTTGGATATAGATACAGTCAAAAAATGCAGACAGAAATGTCAGCTTTTTAATTTTGTTTTAGGTCAAGCAAAAATGGCTATTTATATTAGCAGGTTCATTGAGTGAATGTGATCTTTCACTTTTTTTTCCTTTTTCTTATTACCTTTTTACATATATATAGATTTTTCCCCTTGCGAAATATAGTGTAGATAGTGTAGTGAGAGAGTTGTTTTTTCGCCGTACGCGCGACTTAAACTCGCTTCAAATCTTAGAATAAGTGTGCATTCACTATTCTACAGATGTTACTTTCATTTGATTTAGTTACTGCATGGTAAAATATGTTTGCTATGTGGTAATCGTGTTCTTTGTTTTGATAAATTAGTACTAGTATCAGTGAACATCACAATAATGTTAATAATGTAGTTTGTGTAAACAGCATGCTTGCTTTTTTATTTCAGATGTGAGAATAACAGTGCAAAAGAACCTGTTGCAAAGAGAGCCAAAGCAAATAAGCAGCCCACTCGGTCATGGAAAACAGAGACTGAAGTTGACATGTTCCACAGGCTCTGAGATTCCTGCCTGTACAAGAACCTGGACCACAGCTAAGACCATGTGATGCACACACTTCCAAAATGATATGATAGTTATATATATTCTAAATAAACTACAAACAAAAAATATATACATTTCTTTTTCCTCATTCTTTCTTGTAGCAATTCCCTCTCAGTCACACACCTGACTGAAAGGCTCATTATGCAGCTCATTATGCAGGCCATTTGTCTTCTCAGGTGTGAATCACATCATTATCCATGACCATTCACGCCCCCTCGCATATTCCTTTTCTACACAAAATGTGTCTTAGAAAATTTATATCAATATATTATTTTCTGTGAGTGAGTAAACAAGATGATTTTCACGTTATTCTGAAGCAAAAACTCGAGACTTCAAGATCCAGTTCTCAATAGTCTTGTGAACAACTGTTCTGTATGTGTTTTATGGCCTTATTTCAGTGACTTTAAAATTTTAGTTTTTCACTAAGCACGCATAAACGTTGTTTTCTCAAAAACACAATCACATACATACATGCTGCCCACATATTATTGTAGCCCAGTTTGTGCTGAT